CACAAAGTCTTTTAAAGACTTTGGCCAGTCGAGTGGGAGAGGCGAGATCCCGGCGACTCTCGCTCAAAAGTACAACACCGCACTCAAATTTTCAGGTTTGAGTGTTCAGGGAGAGGCGAGATCTCGGCGGACTCTCACTCAAAAGTACAACGCTGCACTCAAATTTTCAGTTTTGAGTGTTCAGTCCTAACGCTGGAATCCCAACACGTTTCAAATAATGGGAGTTGTCTTCCCGCAGCCACTCATTCTTGAATGTCATATTATAATTATTAAGAAGGTACTCAATCACATGATATAAGTTTTCATTCACCTACTCTCTAACCCATTTTATAAATGTAAAGGATTCTGATCCAGTCAACAAGATCAAATATTTTGTTACTGTACGAACTGAAATAAAAAAAAATTCTCACACATGAAGGTTTAACAAGAAATAAAACTCATTCATGGTTAAGAGTTCAGAGCATCGTGTCTCACGTTCTTACTATAAAATTCATGTAATAGAATGCGCCATTAAGGATAAGGAAATGAGTGAAATGAACACGGAAGAAGCATAAATCGAATTCGTACGAACTTTCGATTTGGCAAAGAAATTTATTCGCAAAAAAATAGACATTATTCGCCCTTTAGTCGTGAAGCAGTAATGTGTGTTTTTGTCAACGTTAACAAAGGTTGGGCCTGCGTTCACTTCAACAAATCTCTTTCACGTTCAAAATTTAACGCCAAAAAAATTCGATTTGTCTTATCAAATATTTTACTTTTCGATTGGAGAAGGAGAAATAATAGTAGTAGGTTATAAAAAATTTTAGAAGTATTTAATTACGTATCGCATTTAAAATTTTTGTTTCTAAAGTGAGATAATTACAGTAAATTTGCGGCAAAAAAGTATTCACACGTCAGTAAAATGAAATACAATTTCATATTTTCGCCCTCTCAATCTTTCAACAAGAAAACAGAGTTGCCAGTTTTCTATAAAAAAATTATCTCACATGCCTTCATTATGAGCACGTAATGAACGTACATTTCCAGCTTAGCATTTCGATATTGAAGAAGAATATCACAATTTTAAATAAGATTAATTACCAGCTCTTGTGAGGAACGAGGGCAGGCAATAAACAGATATTGCCTCGCTCAGATCACTTGCGTTTCTTCAGGCAATTTTTTCTTCCTTAATTGGCAAGGCGATGAGATCGACATTAGTCGAGGCAACGGCTGCAGCCTTCATATTAGACGTGGCAATGGCTGCACTTGACTTGTGTTCTTGTCCTCAATTGTTGCTTCATAATTATTAAGAACATCGTTAAAGAATGACAGTACTTTACACGCAACATAACCCTGTTTTTTTGCAGACATTTTCCAGTTTGCACGAATTTCTTAATTGATTAACAGAAACGGCTTGCGTTTAAGTCCTCTCGTAAGCACACCACTAATACTGTTTATTTTATATATAAGATTTTTTCAGCAAAATATTATCCAGCGCTTCTATACCGTTCATTGTCTCTCACTCTGTAATTTTTCGACCTACTTTCAGAGTTGTTTACAACTCACTAAATACCGCTTATGAGAAACATAGACCTTGTTAAAACTTCGTTAAAAATTAAATGGTGCTAATCGATGAAGAAGTAACCGAAATTTAGAGAGCAGTTATGGGCTGACAAAATTCCACAGAAAGTGACGTATGCAAAAAATTTTAGCGCGAGTGATACTGACTTGTAATAATTTCGATTTATTTTTCTTTAATTGAAATTAGAATTTGTCGAAAAGAAATGTACGCAGGATAAAATTAACGCATTTGATATGAACACAGAATTAAATTAGAAAATTATTTTGCTCAAGACGAATAATCATGCTTTTAAGGGAAAGAAAACCTGGCATCATCCTCAGGCTGCTTGGTGGGGAAATTTTTTAGATTTTCGTGACAAGAGAGACGTCGATACAAGAGTCAAAATACAGAAGGAGCCCTGACTCTTTCACACGATTCGATGAGAGATACTGAGTTTCCCATCACGGCAGGCATTTCCTATTAGCTTCTTGGGACCGCAGGGAGCTTTGAATTTATCGTCGGTTCTTTCCTCGGAAAAATCTGGTAGGCAGCCTCAAAATACGGCTGATATTGGAGCGATAGCGTGAATAGAATGCCCTCTTGGCGGCCATATTCGCTGCCGGAGCTCCTGCAACAAATGCATTAAGCTGGGACTTGCGGGACATTAGTTCAAGGGAAAGTCGAGGATGCTGCACCGAACAGCTGGGCAGGAGTAGACGTGTATTCAATCCTGGAGACTAAAAATCGGAAAAGGGGAGTCCTAACAGAAAATAATGAATTTTTCATCCGTAAATCAGTCAATGAAGGTAATCCTAGACTAGAGCAAACATCGTGAGCTTTATTCCAGTCTTGCCTATAACGTGAACTTTAAGTTGCTGACCTTTTATGAATATACTCAATTGTCGTTTCTAAAGTTAATTCAATAATTGTGTGAGTTCAAGGATATTCTGAAATAAGTATACATTGTTTTCGCTATGCCACTATATTTATACTAAAAAAATGAAAATTGTAAACAGAATTCAGCAAATCAGCTACCTGTCGATTTTTCACCAAGGTTTTACAGAGAATTCCTTAGAAGAAATTCGAAAATTGCAAAACCTTTTGTAAATTAGCAAAACGTATACGGCTTCGCTCCACTCTGTCAACTTAAGGTGTAAACTTTTGAAAAAAATAATGACTTCTATAGGTACACTGGCCGACACTCGTTAATATTGTCTCAATTTCTCGTGACAATTACTCATGAAGCCTGTATCTGTATTAATTACTTTAAAAGTACCAATTACCGTTAGGAACAAATGGTAATACGCCCATATAATCCCAGATTCTCCACTGTTCCATGATTATCCTCAGTTATTTTCTCATAAATTTTAGACGATGACTCATCATCTAAGTAAACTCCAAGTTGTTCGAGAAGGTAAAACAATGGCGTGGCAGCTCTCATGTGAATCACTGATGCAGAACTAAATTTTGAAAAACTGATTGATAGAAAATATGAAATCATAAATATTCTTCAACAAAACGATGCAATGTAGTTGGGAAATATCTTAACATACGATAAATCAAAACTTATCCTTATGCTCTCAGTGTTTAACCGATAACTTTAATGGCAGATAAAAGATTAAATATCCGTATTAATAATATGATATGCATACCTCACATGCATAAGTCGAGGAATTCAACACCGTTGCATTCAGTGATGCAATCAAACGTTTTTCTTTTCAGAGAAACCGTGCATATGCCATGCTCGGGCCAGCTTAGAAATTTAAAATTCTGAAACAGAACAAGAAAATGAAAGCTTTTTAAACATATATTTAACAGTATGTATTTTTCAAAATTTTGCATATTGGATATTAAATCGTACTTAAATAGTTTATTAAATGCTGTCAATTATATGCTGTTTTTCATATATTTAAAATTTAAGCATATAAATGTATGAAGCAACAATTTAAAGTTCAATTCAATCCAATTCAATCATGTTACCCTAATAATTGAAAACATATTGCTACTTCCTTCTTTTGAAAAAATGCAGAAATAGCGTCAATTTCATTGTTTGAGTCGAAATTTCATTTAAATGCTCATATCTAAATTTTTGGGCATGGTAGGAGGTGATGTTTTTGTACGAAACAATGGCCAGATGATTGGCAATCGGGAGAGGCATGAAATCGGATCCTCAAACTCAAACCACTGGCCGTAGTGGGTCTTTTTTGGAGGAGATTTACAGTAGGCATGTATGATAACTTGCTCGCGAAAGGGCTATTAGACTGAAATTCTTTATTTTTGGGGTAAAAATTTCAACCCCTATCTATTTTTCAACCCCTATCTATTAAAGTCAACTTACTAATAAGCAATATTAATCAAGTGATTTCAGATATCATTCTGTAATTACTGTAAACAATCGATGCGATCACATTGTTTTTTTAGCGCATTTCCTCATTTATGGAAAAAAGGCGCTATTGTGCTCGTCATGTCCGTCTGTCCGTGACTTCACGGACAGACGGACGAGAAAATGTGCTTTCCGTCACTCACTGCAGTGAGTACTGATCTAATTTCTTAGAGTATTCACTGATGAATGCAGTGGAATAAAAAGCGTGACGCTGCGACGCAGGTAGATATATTTGTACGCTCGCAACACAAAAGCAGGTTGGACGTGCAAGTAACGGCGCCCAGCGAACGGCTATGACACAAACTCGGATTGCATCGATCAAGAGTTTTTCCCAGACTCTACACAAGAGGCTTTATTTTGGTGAGAACAAAGAATGATCACTACCATCACATGGGCGCAAGAAAGCCTCAATAAATGTTAAGAAAATTTGCGACGAGATTTGCAAATGATTATTTGGATGCAATTGTATAACATTGCTTCTACAAAAACTTAAACTTAAACGAAATCGTCAATGATGTTTTCGAGAAATTCAAGGAAGTACCATCCTGAGAAAGTTAATTAGAACAATGAAAGATACCTGACGATATCGAATGTATTTTTTTTAAATTAACTAAAGCTTCACATGAACACCAACTATATAAGCTATGAACTCCAGAAAAATAGAACACAGTCCAGCCCGCTCCAGCTGAGCTTCAACACTAAAAAGAATCAGTTTTTCAATCCAAATGTTGATGAATTTTTTTAATATTCAATTTGATTATGACATAGCGATCTCGGCGCCGAAGTGTAGGCCTGATGTGGCCTATCATCTTCAAACCAGTACCACAAGAACTTTTTTCAACAACAGTACTATGAGAACTGTTCTCAGGGCTTTGAATATAACTGTACTAAAATTCAGATGTGAATTCATCAAAATTATATTCAAGCAAAGTTGTTTACAATTTTATTTGAAATTGACCAAAAAAACATTTTCTACCGCTCCTACAATAAATTTCATAAAAAATTACATTTGTGGGAGTGACTACTCTAAAATAAGTATTTCATTCATATCGACAAATAAAACCAACAAAATTGAATCATTTCATGTACTCAGTCTATCAGAAAGAAAAAACTTTCACAATTGATATTCATATTACAAATTTCAGTTCACAAGCAGAAGCCGATTTTTCGTATTTGTTTGAGGTATCATGTAGGACATCTCTATTCACAAGAGTCTCGACGAGCACCAGTACAATGAAATTAATTTATTTTCCTACATAAAGTGATGAACAGCTTCATTATCGACCGCCGACCAGTAACACAAGATTCTTTTAATCTCAGTTCTCTTTCAATAGTTTAATAGTGAATTTTATTACTTGCATTAATAATTAATTATTATTTAAATTAATTACTAAAGTCCTCTTTGGACAGGATCGATAAAGATTAATTAAGGAAGTTATATTGTACGGTATTCACAATAGAATGCTAACTGATTACTCGTATAGTGTCATGATAAAGGGAGTTCTTACAATACTTCGAATAAATTTGTTTCCATTCATCACAATCTACCTAAACATAAGGCAAAGTTCAATTTTAATGAATTGTGAGTCGCTCAGACGGGGAACAAAAACGAGAATAAAGTTCGACTCGACCAAAAAAAATGGGAATAAAGTTCGACTCGACCAATCATGAAATGTGACTTTTACTTAGCATTTAATTCTATTTTGCTGAATTAAAACTTAAGTTGCTTAAAATATAATATCGCAACGTTCAATAAAATTCCAGGTTCATTTGTTGCGCAAACGCACAGATATATAAATTTGCATGCACTCAGAAATATTATTGAGTCATTTTGACCAAACATTGACACACACCATCCGCACGTAGCACTGATACGCCCAGTTTTCGGAAGAAACTGAGTCTGTATGACACACAAAAGGTTAAAAAGTCGATAGCTATTTGACAAGTCACGTGTACATAGAAGTTCCATGCGTATTACTTACACGCAAACCCGCTTTAACCGATCTGAACGATTATGAAGGAGTCTAAATCCTAACGTCAACTAAATGCTTACAAAATTTTTCAGATGCACAGCACCAGGTTTCAAACAAACACACAGAGACTATAAAATTTAAAACTCATGATATCCCCTCAGCAATTAAAATCATCTTTTTTTAATGCATCCCAAAAAACTCCATTGAAATGGCTACCAGACAAGGAAAAAATGAGTTCGTACATTATTTATTCTTAACTTTAATTCTTTTAAAATTGCACATGGGTTAATTTATTTACTAATTATTCTTTAACGCATAATCAGTCATTTGCAGTTGGCCTGAAACTGTAAACTGTACTCTTAGCGTAAACTGTTGAAAGTACGTGGTTAAAATAATGTATTGCCTAAAACAACAGTTACAATAAAATGCGGTTGGTATAAAATTATGAAAATATATTAGAATGACTAATAAATTTATATTTTAGTCATCGACAGCATAAATACTTAAATTCTACAAGCATGTTGTTTTTTCTCATTTTACCAGCAGAAAAATGAACCTTTGTACTCGACAATCTCAACAGGGAGTCTAAAAATAAGCAGACGCTGACGATAAAGCTTGAAACGTCCCAGCCTGATGACAGCAGAGATTAAGTAATGCATAACAAAATTAAAATTGTCGGCAATTTGTAATAGGCGTATAAACTATATCAGGTTGAATGCATCTTTTCTCGATTTAATTACTTCAATTTGGATTGGAATAATTTAATTTAAAATTTATTTTATATAAAATTAAAAACTTGTACGGCTTCAATAATCATTGTTTGTCAGAAAAGCCTTCGCTGAAAAACTAAGGAATATCTCTAACTTAATCTTATCTTTAGACGCCATTTACATTTAGGCTTTAACAGCCGTTTAAGAACCGAAATCGATCCCTCACAATTAAGAGAGACAGACACATTTTCTTCCGCTTTATTAACACACTTCAGTTTAAAACGAATTTGATTAAAACGACACCAATTGAAATTTTCCTAATATACCAAATACTACTGGCCTTGCGTAAATTTAAGAGGTCATTTTAATTATTCTAGCCAATGAAAGTTTATTGCATATTCAAATTGTATTTTCAGGGTGAAAATACTGATGAACATACGGAAATAGTCACGTGGGCTGATTATTTATTAGTCTCAAAAAATATTATTCCTTCAAAAAATGTATGGAATATTCACGTGGGTTGATTATTTATCAGTAGAATATATTATATAGTACCAAAAAATAGTATTCCTTCAAAAAATTTATACCAAAACAATCCGAGTCGATTTGTTCAGCTCTTCTTAATATTCCATCCTCGAGCGCTGCGTTGGGAACTGAAAGTAATGAAAGGATGTTAATCAACAGAAATTCATTAGTAACTTGATTGATATTTGACAGTGGAAATACTTGACAGTTGAAACATGAAAAAGTGGTCCTTGGAATTAATCACGAAGCATGATCACGAGCAATAATCAGAAGATTGAGTGATTGTCACAATTGCTATGCATTTTTTGTTAGGTGTGAATCATCTCGACACAATTTGGCCCAACAAAAGGTGCATCAGTAATACATACAGAAAGTTTGTCGGTCATTGGACAATATTACCAATCATTTGCCTGAGTATACGAGACTAGCTCTGCATGATGCTAGCATAGCATTTAATAATGTTAAGACATTGCAGTCTAAAATAAGAAGAACAAATAATATAAAACAGAACACTGCTACTCAGAACATCCAAGGTCAATAAAGAAATCTTATGGCGGTCCCTCTAAGGTAGGATAGACTGGAGTAAATAAATATAAAATGGAAATTATTTATAAATTAATTGGAACAATGCTGCTAGTATACCGTCAATAAGACGTAAGTCGCTACTCAGCAGCGTCTGCTCTTAACTCGCCGCTAGTCATTAAAAACGGTATATTTCTTGTCAGAATTACTGGCGTCAGCGACAATGTTAGTGGCAATGACGATAAATGCAATCTACTCGAGCGCTGGTTATCAATTTTTTCATAAATAGCAAGAGGAACACCTTGTTTTGAATGGGGATCTAATGGACATGACGCAAGACAATATTCGAATTTCAACATGTATATGCTAAAAAATTAAATTCCCCAATTCATAACATTTTTAATAACTTTCGCTATTGACTCTCACCAAGTCTTCTCGGTTGTGGATGCAGCTGATTGCAGTAGCTGCTTCAAAGGTTTGCCTGGGGACTGGAGAGAAATACGTAAAATTTACGACTTTTTATTTCGCTTACACTGAGAGATTTTTTTTTTCACACCAGTAAGTTAAACGCATACTAAAATACTTATTTCGTTGACCTAATAAATTTTCAAACAGTTCATGTTTAAAAAAAATGTTTATAACATTTTAATGTAACTTAATCATTATAAATTTATCTCTCCAAGAAAATCTCTAAGTCTAAATCCTAAATCCGAATGTTGATATTGTGTCATAGGAAACTCAGATATGTCATATACTGATATAAGCTTATTAAAACAAGTACTTGAAGAAATTGATTTACCCAATCAAATTAATAAATTATGTTATATTCCGAACTCAACATGTACAGGACACTTACATTAATAGGCGCAGATATCGACATTCGTTGAACGTTTTCTTCAGTGGGACTTCCACTTGGAGCTTTAGATGCCCAGTACGAACCCCAGCCGTGCGGCGAACCAACTGAACGCATCTGACTCATCGACGCAAAAAATTAGCATATGCGCTGAGAAATCAACATATGCGCTAAATGCGGCGAACCAACTGAACGCATCTGACTCATCGACGCAGAAAAAAATCAACATATGCGCTAAGATATCAACATATGCGCTAAAAACTCAACAAGGGTGCTAAAAAATCAACATATGCGTTGAAAAATCAACATCTGCGCTCCAGTCGTGCGGTGAACCAACTAACACATCTGACTCATCGACGCAGAAAAAAATCAATATAGGGGCTAAAAAAATATTCAGATTCTCTAAGTCTAACTATAAAATATAACGCAAGCAGACAACTGTATAACATGGATGTTTGTACGGGAGAATGCCACAAACTATAAGGGGGTTATCATATTCAATTTTTAAATTACGGACTCGCCACGCTTGTTGCCATGCAAAACATTTACACAAGGTTTATATAAGGCAAACTATATAAATAAGTCACATGTCATTCATGAACTATAATATGAAATATTTAACTTAAACTTATGCTCACTGATGAATATAAATGGAATGTTAATATCGATTCTAGATCGCCATGCTGAAGGCCGCGCATTCCACGATTACAATGAAGCTCAATAACTTGCTTACCTTGAGAGCCTTGGGACAACTTTACGCAGTGAGATGTGAAGAAGAACTGTGGCAACATAGGACTTGCCTCCTTATATACATTGGCTCTCACTTGACATTGCTGAACAGGATAGCGAATCCTACTGGTAGCAGGACAAAAACATGAAATTTAAAGGGATCCTTCAGAGAATCTTGCTTACGTCGTTTGCAATCTGCTCGTCCAATTTCGTGGAACTTGTTAGGCGTCGTTTTACTTAAGAAGCTCCAGTTCGTTCAACTAATCAATTTTCCAATATAATTGGAATTCAAAACATAATAAATAAAAAACTCGAATAAATCGGGCAAGAGATAAGAATGCAAATGGGTTCATCAAAGTCGAGAGTAGAGCTTTTTGTGAGCTCGCTCGGTTGCAGTGGAAAATTCCATCTAGAAAGCAAATAATTTCATTTGCTCTCTAGACCGAAAATTGGTCTCCTGAGTTTGTGATATTAAATTTTCTTCTGAATGCATCACCAGCATTTGCACGTCTAGTGAATAGTGACCATACAAAATTATATCTATGTATAAATCATTGAACTAAATCTTACGTCTAAATCATTTTGTCATGGTAACATTAAATAACCTCAGCTTTATACTGTTTTAAAGGAAAGAATCACATTTTTTTTGCTATTAGCTCTAAAAAAAAGTTTGAAGTATCCATGATGACGCTTGTCTAACAAGCTCACGGTCGTTTCACATCGATAAAAAATAAAAAGTCCTCGGCAACAAAGAGGTTTAGCATAGTTGCCGCACAACTAGCAGGAACCGGCTCAGTTTTCTATGAACAAGTGTTAAAAAAAATTATTATTCTATGAATAGACGACCTCTAAGGAGAACCGGGAGTAACTGCGCAAGATGTTTTGCCTCTTTTTTGATGTACCTAACTTGTATTTTAATTTTCTATATTATTTTTAAAGTGCCAGTTTGTTTCAAGAATTGGTTTGGCACATTCGTTTTCTACGCAGAAAACGATACTTTTTAAGGGTTCAAAGAAAATATGTATTTAAAACTGTAACGGACAGCAAAACGCCAACGTATAATAGCGGTATATAATATAATAGCGATTTCAGCGTTCATAAGTCTCCTAAATTATGTTGTTTTATAAAGATGTGACAATAAAACCAAATAATTGAGCACCTAAACGAGCAATCAGGAAATTTTATGCTAATTAATAGTCTTCGACAAAACAAACATCAACAAAGTAATAGCTACAATCTTTCACTACAGACAGGATACTTGTGAGATATTTTGAAAAGTTTAACACTCCATTGAAACCTAATTAATCAGACATATCAACCACTCCCGAGAATTCTCATGACTGGCGTTGAGAGTGAACGCGCTGAAACCAATACGTACTAAGCTGTCGTTCTTCATTGAAGGCATGTACGACGTAATCTTCAACCTTCAGCATAGGTTAACTCTTAGCTATTCATGGTTAAAGTTCCTATTCGAGAAACATCGTAGCCTGTCCATAATCCTGAAGTTATTCTAATTCCCATGGAAGAGAACTAAACAATTCCCCGTAGTCTGTCCATAATCCTAAATTTATTCTAATTCCCGTGGAAGATAACTAAACATGTCCCCGTTCCCTCTACATAAACCTTATTTTATCCTTATTGTTGTAAAAGTTAAATAAACAAGTCAGCTTGAGTCCTTAATAAAAGCTTTACACGATGTGTCACTTTCCCCTTGTGTTATTCCTTCGAAAATACCATTGTTATTTCCAACTCATTTCGCTTGAATGGACGGATAACCACAAAAAAAAAAACACTGAAATACTTTATGTTTCAGAATGTTGAAATACTTTATCTTTACTAAAGAACAAATTTAATAGAAGAATGAGCTCAAACTTTCCAGTAATGAAACTTGCGTACAACTTAGATCACTGGCTTCTGGGAAAGAATAAAATATAGATTCATTAATAATATATTCATGTATATACAGAAAAAATTACACGTGTGAGAGTGATAACAATTTTCCCACTCCTGCTGTGTGATATCGACTTAATTTGAAATATGCTATAAAACTTGAAGAGAATTACCGTCCATTAAAAAATATACACAAGCTCTCATTGCAAGTCAGGAGCTAATGAGGTTAGTGGTCCATCCAAAGGACATCTCAAGCACCCAAATTAACTGCAGTATCGCATTGATAACCCCGTTTTAACATAATGTGTTTGACTCTACTTTAATTCCTGTGTCGCCGCGTGTTCTTGACATCGTCAGACCTGCGGCAACTGATTAAATCACAAGAAAGTGCACGTTAAGTGCCTAAATTTGTTTAAATATCTTTAGAAAACATCTGTTGAGAACATCGTGTTGTTTTACATTTATGAGTTCTTGGACTACGGTTGAACGAAATTTTTTTGGATGAGTTTGTAAAATATTTCGCTTGAATTCTATGGATGAATTTTCGTGCTTGCACTTTATTCAATGACTGAAATTTTTTATGTTGTTATTTACTATAAAATATCAAGCGTTTATTATGCAGATTACCTACCTTCGCAGAACTGAAGCTCTGAACACGAGATAAATTACATTTTTCATAAAGTTTCTTTCATAAGCAAGGATTCGCTAATATACCATAACGAAACTAGCGCGAATATTTTAACTTTTAGTTTATACTCCTTACTTTAGATAAAAAATCTTTTTAATATTACTCATGTATTACCCAATCATATACCTGAAGCGTGTCATTTTCTCTTACACACAGCGTTGCACTTTACTGAAATCAGGAATATTCTCGATTTAATTTGATACCGCGCATGACATAACATTAAAAAGTGATATGGAACCTATACTATTACACTCAGAAAAATATAATGCCTATATTGTTCGATTAGTGACACACACTCTCTACAAGTAACCCCGATTTACCGGGCCATACCTGGTCAGGATGATCCACATAGGGGCAAAAAGTGTATCGATTTTTGGACAAACTGTCGCTCATTGCTGTGAGTGTAGGCGGTCTTGCATGAAGCCTTACCACCGCAGCTCAGCAGCCGTGGTGGTTAGGTAAACACGCATGCCTAATGAAGGCAGACTCAACTGTACGTATTAGCTTTAGCATACATTACGAATCTGTTGCCATGCAGAGTATGTTTATACCATTTGTGCAGGTCATCCTAGGAATTCCCCAACGGCATTTCTGTTCTGATTGCGCTATGGATTGTTTTTGTTTTACATTTATTGCAGTAAAACTGCTTAATAAATTAGCTGCAAGCTTCTGCAGCCTTGCGTAAATTAAGAGTGTTTGCATACTAATTATAACCCGTGAAAATAAGTATTGGATACTAAATTCACAGCTCATTTCAAGAGATCAGTAAGTAAATTATTTCGTTGAAATGAGAAAATTTTTTAATCCATACCTCCTTAAAAATTTGATAGTCAATGAGATTTCATAAACCTCCGTAAGGTTCAGTGATTCAGCAGTTTAACGTACGATGAGTCAGATCAAATAAACGTCATTTCCAGTCCTTGATATCTTTCTGGGCCTTTTATTCCGTGTTACGAAGATTCGTGGAAAAAATAAATTAAAATAGGAATGAATTTTTTAATGGTTTTCTAGCGCCAAAATTTCTGCAAATTAATTATCCAGGTCACGCACACGTGCCATAAAGATATAAGTTTTGTTTTCTACCTGAAGATAATGCGGAGTTTGTTGGTATCTTTATCTGCAGTAAGGATGATAGAAGCCAAATGTTGTGAGAACATTTATTACAATCGCAATTATGCTCAAAACAAGGCAAATGTTTCACTCCCATCCTAGAGATAAACCAAACAAATACATGAAAAAGTTATAGTGAGTGTCTACGAAGTGTGTATTAATACCTCGTAGGACAATAATTTGCATATAAATAAAAACTTTTAAATAAATTGAGATTCAAAATTTCAGAACTCCCTTGCCCGACAAACTTTGTCACGAGTTACTATAGCTAATAATTTATTGTTCAAATTAAGCAAAATGATGTCATTATCTGGCATAACCTTGAACGCTGCTTTTAGATAATCGTTGTTTATGGCAAGAAATTCAACCGTAAACAATTCATGATGATTATAGTCAAGTTATCTCACCAGCCTATTGAATTATGTTGCAAAATACTGCATTCAATGTATAGTTATTCAAAGAATACTCAAAATTTTCATGGTCTTGAATGAACATGAATGTTACCATTGCTGTAATAAGAAAACTACGTATCATTTAAAGTATATTGAGGTCAAATATATTAAGGTTGGGTTGTGAGTACGAGCAGGTGAATGTCCTGCAATTCATGCTGTTGTTTTATACTCGCGAGAAATGCCAGCTGATTCATGCACACATTACGGCCTAGGCGTAATATATATATATATATATATATATATATATAAAGATGTGAGAACCAAGTACATCTACATCAGCTCGTTGCACCATCCAGCATTACATCAGAACTAATGTAACTATCTCAGGCATTCAGAATTTACTGCAAAAACGTTGTCGCTTAGGTAGGTTCTGTCATGTAATACATATAACGTTCTAATATCAATACATGTGATACATTGAGAATATTTTGATAATATATGCAAATTTAAAATAGTTTATATGAATTAGAATAATGTATTAAACTCTGGTCCCTAATTCCTTACACTTGTGTTCATTCCCCAGATGCGTTCTCTATTGCTGTTGTTGGCGCTGAGCGCCGCGCTGACGCAAGGCTACGTCTACGAGCGCTGCGAGCTCGCCAGGGAGCTTCTCAACACCTACGGCTTCCCGAGGAGTGAACTCGGCGATTGTGGGTGTTATAAATGCTCGTCTGTTGGTAGCCGCAGATATTGTGTATTTTAATGCGATGAAATCCGAATAAAAGGGTAAATTCTATATATCAGCTGACATAAAATTGTGCCAATGATTATGTCATTTGGGTCGATGACCGATTCTAAGCCTCTCGACCACCTTGCCGATTTCGACTAAAAAAATTATAATCACTGGATGAAGTTTTTAAATTAACGTTGTTGTTAATCATTCATACCAACAACTAAAAGAAACAAATCCAAAAGCATCAAAACTGAATATTTCTCACATCTTATTCCTAAATTTTCAATTTTTTTTCTCAGTTTCTCTTAGAATGACTTTGACTTCAAAGGATTTTTCCTCAATGAAAGCAACTCGCTTATAGCAAGACACATTTACTGAATGTTATGGAGGACCTTTGTAATTAATTCATTGCCAAAAATAAAATAACGATCTCTGGTGTCAGATACCAGTGATGTTTTATCATCGATTTACCGTTATACAAATTGCGGTACCACGGAGCATCTCATCTCCTTGATAGCATAGGACTTCTTGACGTCGCTTTGAATAAAAAATGTATAGAAGTTTTAGGTCAAACATTTTTTTTTAACACATTACCAGATCTGCGTTTCTATTAGGATATTTATAGATGCCATAAGCATTCAATTTAAATTTACTGATTGTGTTTTTCATTCATTTTCATTGTAACAGACCTGATCGATAACAATATCAGCGATTATTATATATAATCTACGCACGTCACGGATTCAGCGCCTGGTACGGTTCTATCAGGATATTTATGGATGCCGTAATCATTCAATTTAAATTTACTAATTGTGTTTTTCATTCATTTTCACAACAACAGACCTGATCGATAACGATATCAGCGACGATGTTGCGTGCGCGGATATAATCTACGCACGTCATGGGTTCAGCGCCTGGTACGGCTGGCTGAACCACTGCCAGGGAACCAACACCGAGAGCTACGTTGCTGACTGCGGTGTCTAAACTATTTTCCTTATTAAATGAAAACTGAGTTAAATTCTTGACTGCTCCCTGCATTTTCATAGTGAAAATTACCTTTTATGTTGCAAAATTAATTTCAGATATTTCAATTATACAAAACTGAATTCGGTGTTGTGTTTCAATCTTTCCAAAAATATGATTTCTATTTAACGAGCATACACGATTCATCATTTTAATTCAATTTTCGCAAAAATTATCTAGAAATAATAACTTTCATTTTTTACATTCAAGAAAATTTATCGCTGATCTGCGAAATCAACCCATACAAAGACCTAATACGACAAGTAGAATCAAAAATGTTTGTTAAAAATAACTGTGTGAAATGCGGCGGTCTCCCTAACCCATTGAATCAAATTTAACTTATTATAAACACAACTTTGAACTAACTTATACCACTGATGATATGGAAGAAATGAGCTTCATTTCTGAAATTGATGCTTAGGTTCGAAGTTTTAAGTTCTCTACATGAATTTGTAGACATTTCTTTGGAAAAGTTCTTCGCTCTTCATCCTGTCCCTCACAAATGCCAATTCCGAAGGAACGGAAGAGCATGCAAAATTTGAAGACAGAATTTACGAAGCAGGTTATTAAAAAAACTGCCGGTAAACTGAATGTTTCAGCATACATCTTTGTAGTTAATAGTTACACGTATGGTGCATCCTTCTGATACATTAAATAAATAAAATTGTAGTCAAATTTTCCTTGATCTTTAATATCGAATAAGTGGACGAAAAACTTCATAGCCCGCGCACCATATTGCGCATGGCGCCACCTTCCTAGGACTAATGGCCGCCACGTGGCGCGCAATTCAAATAAGTAAGTTCCCGCGCCGCACCCTGTATTTAATGATTAATTTCAAAATTCAAGTCGTTGAAAAATAAAATTACATTTTACTGTTGATTATCAGCCTTATACGAGAAGCTATGTTTTCGCTCTAATGCTGTGCAGTCGTCAAACAACCACTTTTGATAGCGTTTAGTGTTCGATATTGAGTTGAATATGAGAGCATGGAACGTTGGATCGATCACCGATATACTTATTGGCTTTACAAAATAATGAATTTACATTATTATTCATCTTAGCAAACTCTTCCACTCGACTCACATGAGTCAATGATCTCGAAAAAGCAAATGAGTAAAGGATGCAAAGAAACGCGTGGCTCAGAAACTAATTATATTATTTATTGCATAAAAACTGAACTCTTCAAGACGAAAAGCTTCTCGTGCACATCGAAGCAGCGGCAAACATTTTGAGAACGTCAGAACTGTCTGAGTGCCGCCACGAGGCTAGCAAAGAGTTCATGCCTGCAAAAGTTTCAAACTAGGTTCAAGAAAATGAGATGGATCGCGTAACTAGTTACATATATGAATAATACAAGGTGCAGAGTTCTGGAAGCTGTAATTAAAGATTTACGTGGCATTTAGTAAAAGCACGGCATCGACTTTTAAAGTTCACAAGTGCCAGAATCGTGAAGTACGTCATCACAAAATATTCATAAACTCATTAAACCAAAATTAGAAGACCGACCGGCATGATATCTGGAGGACGAAATTCTTAACGTTGGAAATCTTATCGTCGTCAGTTAATTTGCATTTAGAAATAGGAAACATTGTTATCACTTCAGTGGCGTGCCTATTAAACATATTTAATGAAATTATTTATCAACATATGACCTTATAATTTTGTTGTCTTGGCTAAAGGTAAAGGGAACTAAAGAATATGTTGATGAAAAAATAGATATTAAGTAAAATTAGATACCCCTTGGGACAGTACTACATGCAGAGGAAATAAAGATAAGAACTGAATTGATAGAAATGGGAATAAATGAATTGATAAATAATTTATATCCACATGATTTGATAGAGGGGGTTATTGAACGGCCTTTGTTGATCAGCAACTTTGGTGAGTGGTCATTAAATAACCGTTTATCAACTCAGATTCAAAATCAATCAAAGCTCTGGGGGATCCCAAAACACGGCGATTAATCTTTTTTTAATCTAAAAATGTAATGAGAGATCATAAATTGATTGATTTTGATCTTAAGATTATTTTGCATGCCAATTAATTGTTAATTTTAGATCCCCCCACCATTTGTTGGTCTCCAATATTCGACAATCGTTTTTATATAGGATAAAGCACGGGTTATTCTGTTACGATTTTCCTTGATGATAAGTTCGAGAACAGATTGCATAAATGTTATTTTATAATGCTTTCACATATCTATGCAGATTAAATGGGAAGGCATCATCTGCAAATGAAAACAGCGCTCTTATATTTTTTGCAATGTCATGCTTATGTTTTTTGCAATGTCACATATAAGATATTTTCCTATATAGGGGCTTAATTATTCAAAATTCTGATCGCAGGTGAATCTGAAAACAATTATAACGTTTAAAAATTTTTTCGTGTGTGGAATTTTGTATTATTAAGGCATAATAATTTTATGCGTTTACTTGATATATTTTAAATTTAACTTTATCTTCTACAAAAAATTTACCTGAATTCATTAAATAAACTGAACGGCATTTCAATACGTGCTGCTAAATAGAACCTACTATAATACGAATTGATCCAAGGATATGTATAATTCAATTTGAGAAACTTAATACGTTTTCAATTTTGTCCAAGGCATCAAGCTTTTTAGTGTCTGTTCGTGATTTTTGATTCAGTGACGTGAGTAATTTCATTTTATCTAATAGTCACCGAACAATCGTCGAAAAATTTTTTGTGCTTGGTTATGTTGTAGCTTTATTATTAATAATGTAAAATTTATGTAGACAATTTCTTCAGTAACATTTCCTCCTAAACTTTTATTCCCGTTTAGTTGCTCCAAAATAGTAAGCTCTCTTAATCAGTGTGCGGCCGTTTACCTGCATTGTTACCTGTTGCTCTCATGAAAATAATCAAGTGTGCTGCTTGTTCCCTCTTTACAAAGACATTATACTCAAATTACAATTGTATTTTACCAGGTTAAATAAATCAAACTTCTCAACACACAAACGCCCTACATCTAGTTTAAGCCAGTTAGCCTGGGTTCTTCATATATATTCGTTAAAGTTTTTATCAGGGAAGTATGAGAACATATCAGCAGGCACCGATGAGAGTTCTTGCACTGGACTTTTTGCAAGGATATATAAGTCGAGCCTTTCAGTACATTATCATAGTTTCTTGCAAACAATAACTCGGTACCCAGCTAAAGGTAAGCTTAATTTATAATTTCTTTTGAGAAAACTTGAATTACTTGGTATCGTCGCATCACTTAAACTTAGGAGGCTCAGGAATAATCTTTGGAATTGGTGTTATATAATTAGTTGTATTCGTCGATTGTCTTTTCTTTTTCAACCAGAAAAAGTCAACTTCATCGAAAAAAAATCAATTTAAATTAATAAAACTTATTTACATTATTCGAAAGACTTCGAAAAAAACATCAAACAAAATTTCAGAGTGTTTTTCGATAAAAAATCAAAGGTTCAATGATATAACGAATTTCGGTAATATCTAAGAGTTCTATAATGTAAATATTCAATGATATAACGAGTTTAACAAATAAATAAATGCGATACCTAATTCCTCACACTTGTGTTCATTCCCCAGATGCGTTCTCTGTTGCTGTTGCTGGCGCTGAGCGCCGCGCTAACGCAAGGCTACGTCTACGAGCGCTGCGAGCTCGCCAGAGTCCTCTACAGAGACTATAACTTCTCGCGCGCTAACCTCGGCGACTGTTAGTGACTCCATTAATGTCGTTTTGCTTTAATATCTCAATACCTACGTTACATTGAAGATATTTGGAACTTTCTTGACTCTTCCTTTGCTTTTAAATTTTTCGTGAACTTGCTATTTGAGCAGACAATTGTATCTCTGTACCTTCAATGTATGAGGCTTCAATTCTAATTAAAAACATTTTACTGTTTTCGTCTGAAAGCGTTTTGATCGTTTTTAGTGCAATTTCTAATTTATGTAAAAAATGCGCTTTGTGCTCGTCATGTCAGTCTGTCTGTCCGTCTGTCTGTCTGTCGGTCCGTCTATCTGTCCGTCTGTCTGTCCGTCTGTCTGTCCGTCTGTCCGTGACTTCAAGTTTTCGTCGACGAGAAAACGCGCTCTCTGTCACTCACTGCAGTGAGTACTCAGTTATATTTTTTGTCGCCAAGTTATCCTTCCCTCTTGTCAGTTTTCACCTGTAGTTCATATAAATTTATTCTGTATTTTTACAGGGGTTTGCCTCGTGCAATGGGAGAGCAGCTACAACACCAGGGCCACCAACACCAACACCGACCACAGCGTCGACTACGGTCTCTTCATGGTGAGATGACAAGCAATGTTTTATTTATCTTTATGCTTACCTATTCTGAATACCGACATACTATTGTTTAAATAAAACGCTTTGAGGAGTTATTTCTGGAGTAAAGTCCCAACTGTACTCTGATGTAAGTTATAGTTAAATTTAGGAAAACATTGGAACAAAAATAGTATGTTTAAGGATCTATAGTGTTTAGAAAAATTTATTCAAATGTAAGCTATCAACATAGTTTCATTGCTTCAATTTTTACATTAAAAATAATTTTCAAATAAGAACATTAGATAAGAACCGGGGTACGAGTTTATGTACTAACACGTAACAATTTTTAATGATCTAAATTATTTAATTTACTAAATAATATAAATCATTAATCTTCTTCAGATTAACGACTACTATTGGTGCTACTCCAGTTCCCCCTACGCCGACTGCAACGTTGCTTGCTCGGGTTGGTTAAAAATTAATTAATTAATTATTTAAATAATTCATTATTTCTTTAAATGATTATTTATTAATCTAATTTACTTTACTAATTACTTATTTATTCATTAATTTAACTGATTATTTATATATTTATTTAATTAACTATTTCTTTATTTAATTAATTGTTACTGTGATCAATTTTATATTTTCTACTTAATTAATTATTTCATAAGGCTTTTATTTAATTCTATTATTGAAATTTTAATTTGAAGTCACAGACCTCCGTAGGTATCCAACACATTATGGAAAAACCAATATAAAACAATGTGAAACTAAAGCATCAACTTGCCGTTGATTCTGCGTCGGTGAGCCATGTAATAACTATTTTGTAAATGAGAATGACCAAATGAGGTTTTTTTCTTTTTCTTTAGAACAATTCCACGTATCATATTTCTTGTAATCATATCGAAGAACAAAAAAAGCTCGTAAATTATTGCATCTGATGGTGGTCATATCTAAAGTTTATTTGTTTTCGTGCAGCTTTAATCAACGACGACATTGACGACGATGTGTCGTGCGCCGTGCTCATTCAGTCCCGTCAGGGCTTCGCTGCGTGGTATGGCTGGCAGAACCACTGCAAGGGACACGACGTCGAGTCTTACGTCTCCGACTGTAATCTCTAAATTACGGTCGCCATACCTTCAGTGAGCTTCTACATCAGATATAATTATTAACAGAAATGTTTTTCTTCAATAAATAGTACGTGGTGATTTAGAATTCGAAGATATATGATTTGAGAAATTGTATCACTTTAGAATAAAACGTGGTCATCTCAACTCCAGCCATATTTTATTTAAAAATTAATGCCAACTTGAAATTCGTGCGTCGCATAGCCATCTCTGGGTTTGTGATTTCCATTTAAAGATTCTTAAATAAAAAAAATACATAAACCTGGAGCTCTTCCGCCGGATTGGTTTGAGTAGTTCTATTATCATTTCCAATTAAAAAATGACATCCGAACATTGGCTTCAATTCTTGCCCTTTAAACTTCCAGTCCAGCACCTCTGACATTCCTTTAAAATAAGGAAAATCCACCACAATTTTCAGTCGTTATTCATTACTGAACTGAGTTCGATAGCTAGGTATTTTTCAGTCTTGAAATTATTTGCACAGGCTGGCAGCAATGATCAAAAAATTCATATGCATTCGATTGTCCGCTAAATTAAACCATAATACGAAGAAAAAATGGCGTATTAAAATAATAAGATATATGCGGACGTATGTACAAAATATGATCGAAACGCTACATTTATAAGATTTACAATATCACAAAATAATTAAATTAAACGGTCTAACCTAAGAGGCCACAAAACACGATATTTGATTGTCTGGCTAGCGAATGCAGCGGGAAAATGCATGCTTGCCAGCAACGTCTTAAAAATTCAAGTCCCTTCCTAGATACTCAAACATAAGTCAACGGCTCAAAAATAATCTTGAATCCCTATTGAAATCGTATATTATAAAACTGAAGTATTATTTAACAATGAAAGTGCTGGTTTACCAAAGTCCGAAATACTTTTTAATTTTCCCATAATACTAGAAAATTGTTTCTATGCAAACTCGCATGTAGGGTAAAATGGGGCAAAGGGACCACTGTGGGTCACGGGCCCATAGCAAGTTTTCCGCTAAGTATGGCAGATATTGGTCCGTGTTCTCTACCACCGGTCGACAGATTCACTGGGCTGAAGTGTGTGGCTCTACGTTTTGCTAAGAGTTTGCGTTATTAAGTTACTTGCAAATAACTGTTTTAGCCCAGATAAAAGTTTTTTTGCCGCTAAATAAAACTTTTTGATTACTGTAGATGAAGCTTTTGAAAGTACTGTGAATTATAATATTTTGAAAGTATTATAGGGATAAATTTGACTTCAAGTTCAAACTTTTAAAATAGAATGGTGACGCAATATAAATTGAAATGATACCTAGTGGGGCAACGGGCCCACGCGTATCGCTGGGCTAAGCGCCCATGGTGGGCTCATTACCCCTCGGTGAAGTCTTGTGTTATACATCTTTAGATTTGCCTCAATGCGCTCTACAAAACTATGACTAGCATTATGAACTACAAATTATACTTCATATTGCATGATTTTGTAATTTGTCGCTTCAAGGCAGCTGATTCTAGTTTCTAAATATTTATGACACGTTATCTTTCTTTCACACTTACAAAATAATGCGCAATAATAAAAGGAAGACCAATATAGCAACTATTCTCAAACTGAACTCCAGAATATCTTGGAGAAAATTAAGAATGGCAAATTGCCAATATTTCAAATTACCAGGAGAACGTTGCATCGGCTCAGAGACGGCAAGATGAAGCAACCTGGAATTCTTTATTTAGGAAGATACGAGAAATCCATCCCTGAAGATACGGAAGTGGCAATAGCAACGCGCATTAAAGATGAGAAAAAAAAGAAGCTTTGACTGACATTCTCCTCAAGAATGTGAGGAGAATTGAAATCATTGTTGCTGAACGACAATATAAAAATAAAAATCGCATTCCTCAACCAACAACTTTGGCACGAGTTGTTGACTCGTGCCACTACTAAAATTCGTTGCTGAACGTTGATTTCAGCCAACATCAATGAGCCAAAAGTTGACGAGTTTTTATGGTGTTGGCTGATATCAGGAGTAGGTACGAATTCCCTTCACATAGTAT